GCCCCCCCCTCCCCCCCGCCGCCCCCCGCGCCCCCCCCCCGGGGCCGCCGCACCGCTCTCCTCCCACCGAGAGGGGGCGCTGCAGGCCCACCGCCTGACGGGGCCGCTGGCCCTCCCTGCACCCTTCCGCTCTCTATGGTCCCGCTCTCCCAGCTGCTTCCGCTTCCACGGCGCTCCTTCTCTTCGAGAGGCGGTCGATAAGATGGTGAGTGCCGGTGGCAGCGGGTTTGGTTCCATCTGCTGCCATCCGCCCCGGCAGCGGCTCGCTCCGCCCGCCCGAGGCGCCGGCCGCTGTGGTGGATGTTCGGCCGGTGGCTAGGCCGGGTCGCGGCGGCGTGGGGAGGCCCTAGGCCCAGGATGGTGGGGCAGGGCCTCCCCGGGGGGAGGGGAAGGGTGGCCGGGCTGCGCTTGGCAGCGCCCGGGCGAGGGAGGTCCCGGAGCGCGGCGTGGCGTCTCTTCAGTTTCCTGCGCGGCTCCTGGCCGTGCTGACTTCTCCCTGCTCCTCCAGGTGAACGTCCCGAAAACCCGTCGGACCTACTGCAAGAAATGCGGCAAGCACCAGCCGCACAAAGTCACCCAGTACAAGAAGGGGAAGGACTCCCTCTACGCCCAGGGTAGGGATGGGTGCCCTCCGGGGGCTCTGGGGCATGGCCCGGGGGAAGTTGCGTGGTGCCTGGGTGGTCATGCTCTGCGCCAGGGTGATGGCTGTGGGGTAAGGACGCGGCTGTGGGAGAAGGGGGGATTGCTTCTGATCGGTTGTGCAGCTGCAGGCTGAAGTCTGCTAGAGATTGGTAAGAGTGCCATTTGCGCTTGTAGCATGTCTTGAGCTGTTGCCTAAACAGAGCCATTTCCTCCCATAGGAAAAAGACGCTACGATAGGAAGCAAAGTGGCTATGGGGGCCAGACAAAGCCCATCTTCCGTAAGAAGGTGAGTGCTGCTCCTGGAAGGAGGACCTGGAACTTTTTTGGCAACCCACATGCCCAGCTGAAGAGGGACATTTCAGCCTCCTGCAGCCTTGTGGTGGTCCTGTGCTCAAGCCGTGTAATGGCAGCTTTTGTGCTGGTAGTGCTGTCTGGGGAGTGTAAGTTCCCCATCCACATCTGCTCATCTTCCCTGCTGCTCTGGTCTCATGTAGATGCTCCTTTTTTTTTGAGAAGTGACGTAGCATGTGTTTGCAGAGCAGTTTCTGCAGGGAGCCTTGATGCTGTAGGGGAGTAGGGTCTTAGTGGAAGTGATACTTTTAATGAGAGTAGTGTTTTCCTCACTGCTTGCCAAAGGCGAAGAGTATGGTGAAGGGAAAGGGAGCCTGCCGCTTGCTTTCCTTATGTTCTTGAAGTGGCAGTAGTTTATCACTGAAACTTTTTGCTGGGTTTGTGAGGCTCTCTGCATAGTGAGGCTGCCTTCACTGACAAGGGTATGATCAAAGTGAAGCATGTGCAACTCCTGGGGGTACCACAGAACATGACATCATTTCCTTGCAGTCCACTGTTTCCAGAGAAATCCATATCATTGAGCCAGGAAATGAGAGCTGCTGCATTAGGCCTTTCCTGAGAGTAGTGGAAGGACAGCAGTGCATTCTGTTAGATGAGTTGCAGAAACCTGCTGCTGTCATCCTTCCTCTTCAGTGCGGGTACCTGGTACCTGGGACTGCAAACTTGCAGCATTTTTTTGCTCTGTACCTCCTGCCAAGGGGTCGGGTGGGAGGGAGCAAAATCTGTGGTATTTACAGCAGTGAAGCAAAACCCGATGGGCTGATTTGTTATAGTTTTTGTGTGAACTGTTTAGTTACATTTATAGAGCTGCTTGGTTTGTTGCTGGAAAGCCCTGGTGTTCTGCTGGAGATGTTCAGGAAGCCTTCCAGCAAGGAGAAAAAAATGAGGCAGCAGTTTCTCAAGTTGACTTTCGGCCAGGAAGTGGGAAGACCTTGCAGAAAATGCTTCTGCAAGCAGGGTACCCAAAGCCGCTATACTATTCTCACAGGTTGGCACTCCACCTGTACACTTTCATCCCCTCTTCTGTTTCTTCCCAATCAGCGTTATATGAATGATTGGACAAAGCTGTAACTGGTGGTTACAACTCTGTACAGCTGCTACAGTAGCCTCGCAGCTTTGGATTCTTCCCTCTGTAGTCTTTTGAGTTTCATCTAACTTCTCAGTAGCTGCAGGTCTGCATTGAATATGTTGCTGCTCCTTCCAAGGAAAGTTTGTCACTTGTGCTGCTTTCAGGTGTTTCTTCTGCCTGGCTTTCTGCTGAACTTCTGAGCCCTGTCAGTCTGTTCTCCCACACTGAACAAGTGCCTCTTCCTTCGTGCGTTCACTGGCACAGATTTTCTTCCAGCTTGGCTGATCTCTGCAGGGGACCAGCCCTGCCCCACTGAATGCTTTTGCCAGCGTCCTTTATTGTCAAGGTACAGATCCACTGTACTCGTGTACTGGTCCTTAAGGTGCCCTCTTGTTTTTAATGGAGAGAGCCTAACTCTGTTGATACTCTTTTCTTTACACTGAGAACAAGCTGCTGAATCTTCAGGAGTGCAGATAACAAGCTTTTCCTGAGAGTGACAATTTGTCCGCTTGTGGATGTTTTGTTCATTGATACACTCTGCTCCTCTCCTCCCAGGCTAAGACCACGAAGAAGATTGTGCTGAGGCTGGAGTGTGTGGAGCCCAACTGCAGGTCCAAGAGGATGCTGGCGATTAAGAGGTGCAAGCACTTTGAACTGGGAGGAGACAAGAAGAGAAAGGTAGGTTGGTGTACCGTGAATGGCTGAGAAAGGGTGGCAATGTTCAGCGGTGAATAAACTCACTCTGTCTCTTCCTTCTTACAGGGCCAGGTGATCCAGTTCTAAGCTCCATCCTACTTGTTGTTATGGACCATATTAAAGTATTTGGAAGTGATCTGTTGCTTGTTTTTGTGTATCTTTTGTTGATGGGGTGGGACTTGCAAGTACATCAGCCCAGGAGGAAGGTGTTGCTTGCAAAGCTGCTTAGTAAGTAAACAGTTCATAGTCTGAAGGCTTTTGAAAAAACCCTGCCAATGGCTGGGATCTCCTTACTGTGTTACCAAGAGGTGGTTTAGAATATGTAGAGCCTGAGGCTCTGATGGATTTTTGCACCAGTGGCTTCTCTGCCTGAGTGTTGTGTTGCTACTTTTCTCCAGGCTTATTTATGAGCTTCCATGGTGGAAGGCTGTCTTCAAAAGGGCCTCCTCTAAACTTCTGGAGCTTGTTTCATTTTAAACAGTTCATGACTCCATTAGAGTGGTTCTGTTTCAGAAATGCTATGGTGAATTTGAATTGTTGGTAGATGAAGTAGTGACTGGAAAAAAAAAAGGAAAAAAAAAGCAGAGGTGTCCAATTAGGCCTTTTTCCTCTCCCAAGCCCTTGCCTGAGAGGAGAGGTGGGTAAGATTCCTTGCACCCAGCAATGGTTTCAACACAGTAGGGACCAGAGTAATCCAAACTCTGCCCAACAGCCCCTGCACATGACTGTAGGCCACTCTTGACAAACAGGGAGCAGTTGCACTGCCCTAAGGGGCAGCACATGAGCAAAGGCCCTGGAGCAGCTAGTGGGTGCAGTACCAGGGGTTCATCTGATGAAACATCACACGCAATGTTAGATGGGGGTTATGTGCTGCGGCTCAGCTATGACCTGTGTGCAGTGGCTGTGTTACAGTAGCTCAGAGACAGGAGAGGGACAGCTTCATGCCCATGGTTCCTCCAGCTGCATGCTGTCACACTAAAAGTGAAGGCGTGACAGGCCTCAGCTGCCTGCCCTGTGTCTGACTGCTGTTGGGACCTCTTCTTGGAATTTTCCTTAGAAGAAAAAGCCTAAGCACAGCACTGAAGTTTCAAATGAGTGGTGACTGATGGACAACTACGGAGAGCATGCTATGTTACAGGATAGCCTACCCTGGGCTTTGATGGGATCATCCACTTGAGGTAGCAGTATGCTGCCTGTGAGAAGGAAGTCCACTGTCAGCAGGTGCTGAGAATGCAATGTGGATCTTGCTCTCTCAAAAGTAACTTTCATGTAGTGGAAATAGAGCTGGAAGATGGAGAAATGCCTCTGCACATCTTCATAGGGACTGAGAGCGCTCAGTTACTGAACAGTAACAGAATTTGTATCTTTGCTTATTCAGTACTGGCTGATGTGATTGGCATTTTCAAACTCCTGCTGCTCAAGCTGTTAGCAGCAGTGGTTTGGCCTTGGCCTACAAGATGGACTGTATGGCTGCATTGTGTCAGCTTTACTGAGCGCTGTTTGTAGTAGTCGTGACAAATTTCACAGGACCTTAGTGACTGGAACAAACTGGCCTGTTTTCTAAAACCTGAGTTAATTTCAGATACCATGCTGTACTGCTGTACAGTGGAACAAAGAAAAAGCTTAGCCTTTTTAAGGGATGTTTTAATCAGTGCTCAATCATGGAAATAAGAACAAATCAAGATATCCTGATTGTGTAGTAGTCAGAAGAGAACATACTTCATCACTTATGCAATAATCACTTTCGCAACCATCATGTACAAGTATCCATCCCCTGTATTGGAGGGACCCGTGTTATTCAACCTACAGGCTACTGCCAGCAGTGGAAAGCACACAGGTATTTCTGGAAGGCAGCTCACTGAGGAAGGGGACTCCAGTGGCTCCATGAAGGGTGGAGAGGGAACTGTCATCTAAAGGGAAGTGATAGCCACTGGTGGGAGGAAGACTCTTGGGGTAAGGAGAAACCCTCAAAAGCTGAATCCTAAGCCATGATACTTAATCACATTTGTACTAAGCAGGCAGCTGTCAAGAAAACGGTTCCTAAGAAGTGCAGTGATTTAGGCCAGTCCCTGAGTTGTTCAGAAGGTAGAAGTAGACATCCACGCTATGAGGACACTTGTTGGGTTTCTTCAGCAGGGGTAGGAGCAGCTTTTCTTGATCTTGGACTGTATGCCCCAGCCTGGCAAAGCAAAAGCAAGGCAGCCAGCCAAGGCATGTTTCCCTGTTGTCCCTGAAATGCTCAAGGAGAGCTGTCAGATGCTGCATGTAGCCTTTGCATTTCTTTGGTTGGTAGTGGCAGTGGGCGTTAACAGGAGTTGCTGCCCTGCTGGGGCCCTTGTAGCTCCTTGAAGGAGTTCACTGAGATGCCAGAGAAAGGGTAAATGGAAGAGAAGCAGCACCCCTTTCTCTGTTATCTCTTGGTGATGGAGTAATGGGTATTTGTCACATTAGGCTTGAAGGTTCAAAGTCCCCATAGAAGCACTTTGAGTAGTAAATGCCTGAGGAGAGAAGAAAGACACCCCGTTCGGAGGAAGGAGACAGGCTTCTTGGGACAAGATGTTTAGACAGAGTCTGAGGCTTACAAAAAGTCTTTGTGCCTCCTATAGTGCCACTACTTTCAGCAGCACAGTGCCTGTTGGGTTCACCTCCACACTCAGGGAGGAGACCCAGCTGTAAACCCCCCAGTCCCTGCTGGCTGGCAGGATCTGCCGGACGGAGCATGCTGGGTTGCAGGCTAGCCCGTTGCCAAGGAAGGTGAGGGAGAAGGTGAAGTTCTGGGGTCCCCCGATCTCCTGCTGGTTCAGCACTGCCACGGCATAGGCTTGGCCAGCCAGGGGCCGCTCCCACAGCTCAAAGTTCTTGTCCTGCCAAGGCGAAAATAAACCTGTGGCTTACCTTAGGGGAGGTAGAACTGATGGTCTTCATGCCTGTCTAAGTAGGCTTCAGGAACAAGTGGGCTCACTGGGCTCCTGTTCCCAAACCTGAGCACTCCTCTATACCCCATATGTCCCCTTTCTGAGGAGGCTGGTTGCCTGTGCCCCACACCACGCCCCCAGCCCGGTCCTGCCATACCTTGGTGATCTGGTATCCCTGCTTGCCCAGTGGATCCTGGTTGATGGCGATTGTCTCTTTGTTCTGGAGCAGCCACTTAGCCTCAGGACTAATGCGCCGCAGATCGTTGGACATGAAGAGGGGAGCTGCCATAATAGCCCACATTGCCATCTGAGTCACCGCCTGGTCCCAGCTCAGTCCAAAGTTTCCAATCACCAGCTGTGACAAGAAAACAAAAATGCCTAGTAATGCTGCCTGCTGAGAAGAAACTGGGTCACCAACCTGAGCACTGGTAAATAACAGGATGCTGAGCGTGGGAGCCCTATGTGGGGACTGGTTAGATAGCCTGAGTGCCAGGAGTAGGACCAGCTGGTTGGGAAAGGCAAGGCATGCCTAGTGTGGCAATTTAGGATGAACCACTGGTGGCAGTAAAGAAGGATCCTTAACTGGCTAGGCGGTTTTAGAATCTGCTTTTGGATGCAGCTATTTCTTCCTTGCAATGCTGGCACCCAGCCTGGCACCCAGGGGGTTTCCCTGTGGTGGGAGATCAGCACTTCGGAGACTGTCTGCTGCTGCCACAGCTGTGTTTGGATCTGGCACTGCTGGGGGAGGTTGCAGTACACGGAGACAGCGCTTCCTCTGTACTGTCTGTAGCTGTAGTTCTCTTTCCCTTTCCAGCGAGGGACCCTCTAATCGAGTTCCTGATCCTAGGTCCCTGTCAGAGCCCTTCCCCTCAACATTTCTCCCCCAATTCTCTCCCTTCCCATCCTTCTCAGCCTACAGCCAAGGAAAGGATTTTTTGCTGGTGCTGCAAGGGAGGTGGGCCTTGCTCTACTTGCCATGTCAGGATCATTCCAGCCCCCTGGCCCAGCTATCTTCACAATGCTGTCCTGGTGAAGTGCTGTCCAGTCCAAGATACTCTTGATGCTGCTCCAGGAATCATAGACATCAAAAAAGTTCCTCCAGTGATTGCAGTACTGTTTGATCTCTGTGTAATTGGGCTGCCAAAACAATGAGTGTGATTAACTACAGAGGCTGGCTGTATAAGAACAAGACCATACACAAGGCTAGACTGGATCAGGGATAATATGGGGGAGAACTATGGTAACACCTTCCATCACCAGCTATCTGGATGATCTAGTGCATGTTGGTTCCCTAGGATGCCTTGTGCCCAGTAACTCCAGTCTGCCATTCTCCAGACAACACTATTGTTTCCCTTGGGAGAATAGTTGTGGCCACCTAGCTCTGTTAGAAAATTCCTTTGAGTGCT